CCTGGCTCCCATTGGCTCCGCAACTTCTGCCCTCGCACGTCTAGCCTCGGGAGGACGCAGGCGCAAGCGCTAGGGGAGGGCTCCGCGGCGTTGCCATGGCTACAGGCGCCGTGCTCTGCGCGGGCCGGCGTGCGCTTCCGGGGCGGGCAGCGGGCTCCGGAAGTGTACAGCTGCCCGGGACCATGGCGGTGCTTGCTGCTGGGGATGGCGGTTTGCTCTGCCGGGCGACTAGTTCTGGCCTGGTCAGTCGGCGGCCGACATCCTATCTGGGGCGTCGTCCCACAGACGGTAAACGTACTGCCGCGCCGTTGGTGGGGCCAGTGGACATGGACCGGGGTGGGATCCGAGTTGGTGTGGCGGCCGGGTAGGGGCTGTGGTGCCGGGGAGCGGGTTGGGGCGGGGGACAGGGCTGGGGCTCAGCCTCGGGCTTTCCTCCCCCTCGGGCGCTGGGGCTGGGACCGCGAGTCCGGGTAGCCCTGCATGGCCACGGCCTCCCAGAACCCCCCGGGAAGGGCAGGCAGAGGACCCGTCTTTTATGAAGCGGGGCCTTACCTGGGTTTTGAAGAGCCCCAGAATCAGATGTTGGAATGGGGTGGTTTATCAGCCTTGTTTATCTTCAGGGAAATTTCATTTCCATCCAGATGTTGGCTGCTTCAATAAACCTCAGGAATAAGACAAGGGTCAGTGCCGATTAACAGTTATCCTGGGCTTGACTCAAAATAGACTGTGCGGGGTGTAGGGATGGTAGATGGGCCCTCCCTCTCAAGGTTGGCAGTCTTCTGGGATTAGAGGCCCCAGTTGAGGATTACATCCTCATCTGCAGTAATGGAGATTGTGGGAAACACTAAAACAGAGAAGGGAGGGGTGTGGCTGCGGTAACTCATTAAAGAAGCCAGGACCCTTGTCTGGCTCTTGTGTAGGAGAGTCTCGCCTAGGGTAGGGCAGCAGTTATCAAAGTGTGTCCGAGGCCCCTGAGATGCAAGACTATTTTCGTAGAAACGCCGGGATGTCACCTGCCTTTTGCACACTCTTGCACTCTCGAGTTTCCTGTGGGGTTTTCCAGGGAAAACCTGTTCTGTGATATCACAAAACAGGGAATGTAGAGGCAGAGAGAATTCAGCTCTCACTAGTCCAAAAGAAATTTGCAGAAATTAAAATCACTGCTATTCTTCTCATTAATGATTTTTGTTTAGAAAAATATGCTTATTTTTTGCTTAAGAGTATTAATGGTAACATGTAGTAAGTTGTTATTATTTTTAAGTGAACTCATAAGCATTTTTTAAAGTTCTTATTTAACTTCTAACACAGGAACTATTGATAGATTTAACCCACATAAACAGCAGCCTTTTGGAGTCCTCAGTAATTAAGAGTATACAGGGGTCTGTAGACCAAGAAGCTTGAGAGCCCCTGGAGAACGGGTGCTCAGGTACTAGTCAGGTGCTTAGCATTGTTAGACAGATGCCGAGATGACTTCTGCATGTGCTCCCGGACTCGAAGTAATTGACCACGTGGAGATGGGTGGGCAGTGCCTCCAGTTTACAAACCAGAAGCTGCTGAACGTGTCTGGAGTCTAGGCCATTGGCTGTGCAGGGATTCCCGTTGTATCTGTTCTATCTAAGCTGGGATTCCTGTGCAGAGGCCTGGCCCTGAAGACCCGCTCTCCTTTGCTCCCTGCCAGGTACCTTCTGTGTGACTTCAACCCTCCAGAGGGCTTCAGCCTCCGTGGGGGCGTCTGTATCCACATCGCCTTCCTCCTGAAGACCCTGCTGAAAATGGAGGAGTCGGTGCTGGTGCTACCTCCTTGGGGCCGCTTCTACCATTGGCAGAGCCTGGACATCCACCAGGTCCGGATTCCCTGGTCTGACTTTTTTGATCTCTCAAGTCTCAACAGAAACATCCCTGACACTGAGTATGAACAGTTCATTGCAGGTGAGATGGTGATCGTTTAACTGGGGCCAGACGGTTGTTGTTCTGGATCCGATGTGAGCATCGGGCCGTCTTGCTTCGGGCTTGTTGGTCTGCTTAGGGGCCCTGCTCATGTATCCCGCACTGCAGGTGAATTTGGTCTTTCCATAGTTTTTCTCAGGAAATAGATCTGAAGTGTATGAGTTGTGTGTTCCCTCCCCTCTGAAAACCCTGGCCTCCTGGTGTGATGGAGCAGTGACAAGGAGGCCACTGCCACAGAGGCCTTGTTCCAGCAAGACTCGCTCCCTGGGCAGTAAGGGCCATTCTTACCTGAAGTAAAACTCGATGTGTGTGTAGAATGGGCCACGTGCTGGAGAAGGTATGTAACCTCTCATTCAGTATAATTTTGTCCTGCTCAAGCTTCCTATTTTACTTTTTGTAAGAGGAAAGAGTTGAAGATTTTCTTTGAATAAAGGTATTTAGAGCTTATCTTTTTTTTTAATTGAAATGTGGTAGATTTATAATGTTTTGTTAGTTTCAGGTATACAGCATAGTGATTCAGTTGTACGTATACATAGTCTATTCTTTTTCAGGTTCTTTTCCATTATAGGTTGCAAGATACTGAATATTTTCCCCTGTGTTCTACAGTGAATCCTTGTTGTTTGTCTGTTTTACATATAGCAGTTTGTAATTGTTAATCCCAAACTCCTAAGTTTGTTTTCTAAGTCTGTGAGTCTGTTTTTGTTTTGTAAATAAGTTAATTTGTATCATTTTTAAAAATTCCACATATAAGTGATATCATATGATACTTGTCTTTCTCTGTCTGAGTTATTTCACTTTAGTGTGATAACCTCCAGGTCCATCCATGTTGCTATAAATGGCATTATTTCCCTTTGTTATGACTGAGTAATATTATTTTATATCTAAATACTACATCTTTATCCAGTTATCTGTGAGTGAGCGTTTAGGTTGCTTCTATGTCTTGGCCATTGTAAACAATGCTGCTGTGAACATTGGGGTGCAGGTATCTTTTGGAATTAAGTTTCCCTCTGGATATATGCCCAGGAGTGGCATTGCTGGATCAAATGATAAGTCTTTTTTTAGTCTTTTGAGGAATCTCCATACTATTTTCCACAGTGGCTGCACCAAACTACATTCCCACCAAAAATGTAGGAGGGTTCCCTTTTCTCAACAGCCTCTCCAACATTTATGGTTTGTGGATTTTTGAATGGTGGCCATTCTGACTAGTGTGAGATGATAACTTATTGTAGTTTTGATTTGCATTTCTCTGATAATTAGCGATATTGAGCCTTTTTTTCTTATGCCTACTGGCCATTTGTATATCTTCATTGGAGAATTGCTTGTTTAGTTGTTCTGCCCATTTTTGGAGTTGGTTGTTTATTTTTGTTTCTTATTAAATTGTATAAACTATTTATATAGTCTAGAAGTTAAGCCATGTTCAGTCTCATCTTTTGCAAATATTTTCTCCCATTCCATAGGTTGTCTTTTTGTTTTGCTTATGGTTTCTATTGCTGTGAAAAAGCTGATAGGTTTAATTAGGTCCCATTTGTTTATTTTGGCTTTTATTTCTGTTGCTTGGGTGGATTGCCCTAGGAAAACATTGCTGAGATGTATGTCAAGTAATGTTTTGCCTATGTTTTCTTCTGAGAGGTTTACAGCGCCTTGTCTAATGTTTAAGTCTTTAAGCCATTTTGAGTTTGTTTCTTTTTGTTTTGTTTTTTTTGTGACTGTATTGTATGCTTTTGATTTGTGGTTACCTTATTTTTCAAGTATATCAACCCATTACTATATCTATTTCCTTTAT